GCTATTGAATCCTTCCTTCATAGTATAAAAGTTGTCCCAGATGGATAGCACTCTTCTTCATTTTCTGTAACTTCAGGAGTTCCTCAAGGTTCTATCCTTGGTCCTGTAGTTTTTAAAATTTACATATACGATCTCCCAGAAAATCTCACATCTAAGGTGGCATTGTTCACTGATGATATTACCATTTTGTTCTTGTCTTGATAAGAAACCAATGCTCTTTGATTGTTTGGAGGGGGAATTTGAGCTTGAAAAGGATCTCAATTCTGCTACAACATGGGGCTCTCAGTGACTGGTGAACTTTAACTCAGATAAAACTCAATTTTTTTAGCTAATTGCTATTGCAACTATCTAGACTTTTATATATTTATGAACGATAATGTGCCCTTGGAATAATTCTTACTTCTGATGTTTCTTGGAAACCATATATCAAATCCAATGCCAAATTATATTTCTCTATAAATTTCTAAGCCGTCCTTGTATGGAATATTGTTGCCATATCTGAAGCGGATTTTCAAATGATGCCCTTTCACTTTTTGAAAAAAATAAAGTGCAAAAATGTATTGTAAACATAGTTGGATCTGCTCTTGCAGCCAACCTTCAACCATTGTCTCATCATTGTAAAGTTTCCTCCCTTTTTTCTATAAATAATATAATGGGTGTTACTCTAAAGAGCTAGCGTCTCTTGTGCCATCTTTTAAAATTTATTCTCATGTTCCTCATCATTCAATTAAGTCTCATACTTTACTGTGAGCTCAAAAAATTCTTATTCATCTTTGGAATTCAATCCCTTTATCTTGTTTTCCTGATTGATACAATTTACAAACTTTCATGTGGCCTGTTAATCGTTATTTTGCGTTACTTCATCTTTATTATCTTCCAGTAACTTCCAACTCTAATAGTGGTTGCTTGCAGTCTTGTTTGAAGTGATGATGTAAAATAAAAACCAGAAATTCTGCCTGTACTCCCTGGAGCTAGTCTGTCACTGTATATATATATATATATATATATATATATATATATATATATATATATATATATATATATATATATATATATATATATATATATATATATATATATATAGATATATAGATATATATATATAGATATATAGATATATAGATATATATATATACATGTATGTATGTTTGTATGCCAGTATTTAATAAATAGTAAATGTATTTAAATGTATAAATTTATAATATATAAATTATTATAAATTTTTTTCTAGCATCTTTTGCTAAATTTTACAATTTTTATCACCAACATTTATCATCGTTGGGTTTGTAAAAAAGTCCCATCTGGGGCCAGTGCCCTGGTCATTTACTATTCACTTAGTGGATTATAATTGTTTGTTAAATACAATTGAGTTCAAGTAATTAAGACTGAGTATTTTTAATTATTTCACTCGTTAATCAAGACAGTTATCATTAGTTTTTTGTATTTATGTTTTTTTCTCCCTTTTTTTTAATTTTGTAACAAACTTTTAACTCACACTCAATTTAAGTCACAACTCAACTCACAAGCTTTGGCAAACAATGCCAATGCTTGAAGGAAAAATTTAAGCATGGCACTACCGGGGACAAGGTAGGCATCAAACTCTTTTTAAAAAAAAAAGGGAATAGTCTGTTTTACCACTACCTGCAATATGCTGATACATTTAATTATTTTTTTTAACACAATTAGAAAAAGAGGTGCATAATCTGAAAAAAAGCTCAGGTTAAATATAGTATATATAAGGAAAAAAAGCTCAGGTTAAATAAAGCTCAGGTTAAATATAGTATATATAAAGAAAAGATCTTAATATATTTGGGAACCCTGATATATATTTGTAAGTTATTAATACTTTTAAAAGCATTAAAAAATATTTTTAAGTTATAAAAGTTGTGAAAGATAATTAGTTCATTCCAAAGATGTATACAAACTTATATTTGTTAATTATAAGATGTTTTAGATGTTAAATGAAGTAAAATAGTTAAAGCATATAAGTAAATAGAATACTATAAAAAAGTCAAAAAGTTTTTTTTTTCATTTTTGGTAAAATTGAAGTTTTAATATAATAAAAGTTGTAATATCCTATTTTTTTGATATCCTATTTTTTTGATATGTTATGCCATCACAAAATGATGATCATTATAGATTACATATTCCATGAAATACAGTTAAAATAAAGATCTTCATTTCATTCTAAGTTGAAAAAAAATTTTAATTTTCCTATTATTTAAAAAAGATTACGTCTTCCAGGTATTTTAGTTAAAGATTAGTAGGGCTGTACCGGATTTAATTTTTTAAAATCCGGTCATAGCCGGATTTTCCGGATTTCTGCAGACAAATTTGGCCGAAACCGGATTTTAAAACAAAATTACAGGAACTGAAATCCTGTACCTCTCTTCTTGACATTAACAATGGTCAACAATGTTTACCATTCTCAGTACCAAGTCACAACTATTTTCTGTTAAACATTGTTATTATTAAAATAGAAGGACACAATTTTACATAACATATGATAACAACAAAACAGTTGATAAATTATTGAAACTTTCAATTTGAAAGTGAACTAAAGTAACTTCCGTTTCAGTTATTTTTCTTAAGTTTTCTTCAATCAGTTTTGAATCGCACTTTAGAAAATTATGCGAAATGCATTATGTGGCAGGAGTGAACTACAATGATCATTGAGAACCTCCCCAGCAACACTGAACAAATGTTCTGATGGTACACTTGTTGGTGGGGCATCCAATAAATGCGAGCTACTATCGCTAGAGCTGGTAATTGTTGCATGTTATCATTCCACCACTGTTATGGATCAAGGTGTCTCTTTATTTCTGGTTCTGCCAGATACTGGCTTAGCTGAGTGTCAATGCGTGTTGGTAGTTGTTGTTCATGTGTTGTGCCGCCAGCGGGCGTAGTCTGAACAATTTTATCAATACATTGTCAGAGTAATGCTGATGATGTAGAAGAATTACCCAGTCGGGCTTGCTTTGCTGGAATTTCTTCAGTTATATCAATCTGCTGCTCAGCATGCTCAGATTGACTTCCGATACCTTCTGCAATGTAACTTTATTGAATGTATATTTAACCAAATTTGTGTCTTCACTTCAGACTATTGTGTTTCTTCACTTAAGAATATTGTGTGTATTCCCTTCAAAAATATTTTTTGAGTTGTTAAAAAATGTAAATTCAGATACCATTACAAACAGGGAGTTCATAGAATATAGGATTATAAAGAACATTTCTTTAAATAAATGAAATATTAAGTATACATGTAAACACGGGCAAAAAAATGTAATATCTGACTAAAATTTTGCCGGATGTGCTAACTTTTTGCCAGAGCCGGATTTGTAAAAATGGCCGGTTTTCAGCCGAATTTCGGTACAGCCCTAAAGACTAGCATCATCATTCTGCAACTGGTAACATGTTATCCAGTACAACCTATCTCATGTATTTCTGGCTTGTAGGGTTTACTATTCTAGGCAAAGGCTAGTAGAGGTTTATGATACGACAATGTTACTTTTGTGGTTAAGTAAAAGCTAGAGATGTCTTAATCAAAAGTATTCATCCTAGGCAGATGTGAGAGGCAAAAATTTCTATTTATTTGCCTCTTATCTCTTCTTCATCCAGTAGGCTTAAAATCTTCTATTAATTAAAAATAATAAGGTACTTAAAATTTAAACAAAAAAAAACAAACTCTTACTACCACTCAATCTATCCGTTACTTATACCTATTTGCTTCAAATTAACTTTGCAAAATATAACATCTATTAAATGTTTTCTAATGCAAAATTCAATAAGTCTACTTATTCTTTGCAAGATTACTTTAAATTTGGCTACTACGCTTCAAATTAGTTTTAATGGTTATTATCCTTTAATTGCAAAAGTCTTCAATAGTCACATGGTTGACCTAGACATACACTTAGATAATAAGTTTATCAATTTGATTTGAAACATCACGGAAAAGAATCTTGGAAGAAGGGAAATAAAAAGTCAACGAACTTTCTCTGAGAGAAAATTCGTCTTTTGAATCTAATGATCACACTCTTCCTGTCATTCCAAAGAAACAGGTTAATCCACTCTTTAACATCCAAATTACTCCTGCTTCTTTTGTTCAAAATATTTTCAATATAGGCTCTTCTGTAACTGGTCTGAAAAACATTCCTTTCATAGAGTTAACAGAGATGTCAAGACAGTAAAGATCAAGAACTAAGACCAATTTTCTCTCAATATATATATATATATATATATATATATATATATATATATATATATATATATATATATATATATATATATATATATATATATATATATATATATATATATCCTTATATCCTTATAGTGTAGTCGAAAGAGACTTTTATGGTAAAAAAAAAGTCTCTTTCGACTACAATTTTTTTATCTTGTCTCTTAAGCTGCATTTTATTGTCGTTGAAATGTCAAAGCAATAAAATTAATGTGGAAGTACATTAAATTTTATTGTTTTTTAAAAAAGCAGCAATATTAATGATTAGAAAAATTTTTTAATTAGTGGTGTTTTTGTTTTTGTTTTGTTAAAAAACATTTTTAAAACATGCGTAAGTGTTGCTACATCGACTATCTTATAGCGTGACTCGCAACAGAGTGCTGCTACATTGACTGACAAATAGCCTGACTCACAAGGGAGTGTTGTTACATCGACTGACAAATAGCCTGACTTGCAAGAGAGTGCTGCTACATCGACTGAGGGTTTGGTTTGGGCAGGCAGCCTATCATTTTTTTTTTAAAAAAATTTTTTTGAAGTTTTTTAACATTTTCTGGTCAGGCTTATTAACGCGCTATTTATAGCAACAGTTTATGGGAAAAACTTTGTGACTACCATGCAAGGCTATATATATATATATATATATATATATATATATATATATATATATATATATATATATATATATATATATATATATATATATATATATATATATATATATATATATATATATATATATATAAAATAACGATTTTTTTTTTAGAACTGACCAGATCTGAGGTTGATTCATTACCTGGTCCATATGATACATATTCTATGAATGTTTATCCAAGACCAGTTGTACACCTTAATTACCGTCCAGGAACGGACTTACACAAATATAATAACAATCGGCACTGTCACACTAGTATAGTGTTTAATAATCGTTTAAAATTTGATGATCAAATGTACACATTTGGAATGTTTACAATGTTTGCACAGCTCAGTGCTCAGGCTCTTGCAGAAGGAGTTTTACATGGGACAGACTTAATGAAACCTTTAGTAACGCAATGTCTAGTAACAAACGGCCATAGAGTTACCTTTATGTTGTATCAATTAAATACAATGAATATGATGGACGATAAAGGATGCTGGAATCGAACTTGGTATACACCTGTTGAAAACATGTACGATAGTTCTGACAGCTTGCCTTTAGTTTTCGAGACTGCCGACAGGGGTGAAGTATTAAAAGGGTTTAATAAAAACTTTTGTAAGATGTTTACAAACATTATTAGAAAAGAAACTTTGTAGTGATTGATGTTGTGTGAAAATCATTTTTACAAGAAGTTTTCATAACTTTATTTTAAAAATATTTATATAAAAGTATATCGATTTTTTTTTTACATTGGTTGCAAACCAAAGCTAATTTTGGCGCACTACACGTTGCAAAGTAATTTTTATTTTATCAGATTAAAAATTGTTTAAGTGATGTTTTTGGCTACATTAAATTTTCAAGTGACTTTTTAAAATTATGTTTATAAAGGTGAGTTTCCACTCGTCCGTTTTTCTACGGGAAAGGGAAAAAATAGTCACGTGAGCATGCGCAGTTTTCTTTCGGACAAATAAATACTCTTATTACGCATGCTCACGTGATTATTTTTTTCCTTCCTATCCCGTTCCCGTTGAAAAACGGATGCGCCTTAAGCGTCTGAAGTTTCGACCTATTTTTTTTAGTGCAATAAATTACAAAAATCATCAGAAGCAATTTAAAAAAATAAATTCTATAGTATAATTAAATAAAAAGAAATGAAAATAAAAATTTATATAAAATTTAGTAAAAAGAAAAATTTATAAATATCACTCTGATAATTTAGGCGTTTTATAATAGTTTAAAATGTTCATGCTACAGATGTAGAAAGAGTCGTAGTTGTAACAAGATGGCAGTTGTAGCTAGAGATTATTAACAATTTGAACAAGAAAGCTCAACAACAGCTATAAATCAAAGGTAAACTCAGCCAGTTCTTAGCTTTAATCTAACGGAACCTTCAGCTTTTCTATGCCTAAGTTAACAACAAACACACCAGTTAACAACCAAATAACTTTTATGTGCTAACTATGGGGAAAGAAGCAACAACCGAGCATTCGTCGCCAATCAATTCCAGTTCACAGACAACTCGTGATAGAACTGTCAGATTAACTTATATCTTTATTTATCAAACATACACCCCTTATTCATCAAACATACGCCCCTTTCAATTTTTTCTTTACCTTTATCTAAGATTCCGTTTACAAACTCTATCTGCTCTCAACGCCACCAAATCAACTGCAGGCGACCACCTTTTCATTTTTGTGCTCAAAGTAAATGCTGATGCATCAACTGTCTCGTTCTCCGTCATTTTTCATAAAGAAATTTATCACGATCATTGTGTAGTCCTAACCGCGTGGCCACTGTAAACACAACGCCATTGTTTAAAATAGGCTTCAGACGCAACCCAGTTAACTAGGCAGATCGCCTCTGTGCTATGCAAAATAATGGCATAAAGGCTAAAAGACAAGAACACGTAGCACCTTGTGGCCTACAATTTATTACTAATTGTCAACACGGCTTCGTCAATGAGAAAGCCTGCTTCACAAATCTACTCGAGATGATTTGTGAAATGTTATAGACTTTCTATAACATTTCTTATAACCTTCCAGTAAGCTTGCTCTTTCTTGACTTTGCTAAAGCTTTCGGCTAAGTCACTCACAAAAGATTACTGCAAAAACTTTTTGCATTAATCTTATGTGAAAAAGATTACTTCAAAATTGTAATCCTCAAAAGATTGTTATCCTCAAATAAAATTCTTTTATTTGAGGATAACAATCTAAACTGGAACAATGCTTGTCTTTCAAATAGTTCAGAACTCAATCTTCTTGATAATACGTCGTCCAACTGGAAACAATTTACCAGTAGCAATCCGCTAGATTTAGTTCTAGGTTCTACGGTATTCATAACCTTTATGGCTAACTTACCTAAACACGACAGCAGTATAAAAAAAGTTTAAATTTTTTATAGTTTAACCAATTGTTTTTAATTAATTTTTCATGCTGATTCTAAAAAACCAAGATAAAATGTTAAAAAAGTCAAGATAAAATGTAAACCAAATAATATACAAAATAAAACAGCAACAACAACAAAAAAAGCAATTAAAAATAAATCAAGATATTTTCAATTAAAAATATAATTTTTTTAAGTTTCTGTTTGAATGAAGCAAAAGTCAGTTGGATGGAAATTTGGTAAGACTATTTTGTTCCAGAGATAAGGACCTCGGTAAAAAACAAAAAACTGGTCTTTGCTTTTACGACTAAAAGGGGCAATAAGATTGTTATTAATTCGAAGATTATATTTGTTTATAGGTTTTATACAATAATGATTTTGTAATACATTTGGCGACAAATTTTCTCTACATTTAACCATAAAACATAAAATATTAAAGACATTTTGTTGATATATATTTAAAATATTCATTTCTTTAAAACGTTGTTTCGTATGAAAAAACCGATTTTTAAAATTTATTGCGCGAGTTGCGTGTTTCTGATGAAGGTAAAGAGATTTTAGCTTTGTTCCGTGAGTTCTTTCTAATATAATATTCGCGTAGTTTATAAGACAATGTATAAATGAATAATAAAATTATGTTAACTGGTGAGTACCTAATATATTTCTTGCTTTATAGAGAATTCCGATGTATTTAGCAATTTTATTGGAGGTATTATCAATATAATTTCTCCAAGATAGTTTTGCATCAATATATGCTCCGAGAAACTTGGTAATTTTTTCCCTTTTAATTATTTTATTATCAATTAAAAGGTCTGGCGTGATGTGGGGAGTTCTGTTTTTTTAAAGGTGGATAAAAAGATGATTTATAAAGATTATTTATGTAAATTAAAAAAATAAGAGGACCAAGTATGGAACACCGCATGTTATATTCATTAATAGATGAGATAAAGAATCTTTATTGTAAACAAACTGTTTACGGTTAGTAAGATAACTTTCAAACTTTTTATAATTTTGTTTATGTTTTTCTGATTTTGATTTTAGGTATTTAATGTATAGCTTCTGCTTAATTTTTGACGATTTTCTGAGACCTTTAGTAATCCAAGAAGATGACATTTCTTTATCGCTTAAAACTTTAAAAATCTTTAACGCTTAAAACTTAAAAAAGAAAAATTGGAATCGTACATTTGGTAAAAAGTTTTGAAAAAATTACCGTAGATTATGTTGATATTATCATTAAAATTAATATAACCCCAATCTATAAGTGGTAATTGTTCTCTAAAAGAGTTTAAATTATTATTGTTAATAAGCCGTTTTTTTTATTAAAACTTTTTCCCTGCTTTTCCTTTTTTTTTAAATTAACACATATAGAAAAAAAAAAACCAGGAAGTAATCGGAAACATCGGTTTTTATAATTTCTTTTTTAGCTACTTATTAAAAAGTTATTGTTCCAGTTTCAAATAAACCATTAAAAAATTTTCTCGAAACTTGATTTTCATAATAATCAAACGAGTTTATGTTGAAATCCCAAATCAAATAATTTTTTTTATTCAAGATTAGTTTTCTTTATTATGTTTTTTAGTAAAAAATTGCCAAAGTTTTAAACTCTTCCAATTTTTCTTAAAAAGTATCGCGCTAGCATTTGTTATAAATAACAATAGCCAAACAAAAGAAAACATTTGTGTGGCGTGTAAATACTTATATACAATTATAATTCCAAATGACAACTGTCTCATCGCCCTTGTCTAACTTCTATCCAGAGCCGGACAAAGCATTTTGGGGGCCCTAGGCAGACATGGATGTAGAGCCCTCCCCCTCCTTCCCCACATATATATATTTTTTTTCAATTTACTACGCGACTGATACTACGACAACTGAGAATAAATTTAATTAATTAATTTTTGAAAATTATTGCAAGTTTCCTCAAAATTAAAAAGTAATGTATTTTTTTGATTTTAATTTCTTCATTTTCAACTTTTTAGGGGCCCCTTAAACGTTGGGGGCCCTAGGCAGCTGCCTTATTTGCCTTATTTAGTACGGTCTGCCACTGCTTCTATCATCAATCACCCTCGTGTAACTTTTGTAAAACTTTATAACAAAAAGGTTTTAAACCATAAGAGTATTCTAAAACTCTACTAAAAATGATTTCCATCAAAAAAAGAGAAGTTTAAATCCTAAAGAGATTAGCAAAATTCCAATCCTACAGCTTTTAGGCTCCGTTTATTTTTTCGATAATTTTTCAGTTAAAATTCTAATTATGCTTCGTACGGTTTTAATTTAAAGCTTATTTTCTGATAAAAGCTTTTAATAAAGCTTCATGAAACCTCTACAGGACTTTATCTTAGAAAAAAAAAATTTCGAGTAAACAAACCAATTATCGCTGTACAACACATGCAAAATATCTTATTAAAATGAGTTATAATAACGATTTTAGTGCTTCAAACACAATCTATCGATAACTTTAAACTGTTTAGTGTAATAGGATTAAAGTTTTTTTTACCAGTACGTAAAAATTCTACAATTGGATCGAATTTAAGATAACTTGGATAGAATTTAACAAGCAAGCGCACGCCTCATTACCTACCAACCAATTGGTAAGGAATTAGGTTTAAACTACCTGGGTGAGTGTTGTTCCTCAGTGCTTTGTAATAAGACAGTTGAAACTTCTGGAAGGACCTAAATAACTAAAAAAAGCAAAAACTTAACAAACCATTGCAGTGATGCATACATGGTCAGAGCTGTCATCAAATATGCTAGGATATTCTATCCGATTCAGGATATTTTATTTCTGGATAGAGAATATATCCTGAGAAGGAAATGATAGATTTGTAGCCAGAAAAAAGAAGACATAAGTATACAGCTTTGCTTTTAGGCCTTCAATAGTCTGCCCAGCCTGCTAATTAGACCCAGAATATTATTGTTCCACCCCATTTCCTCAGCCTATTAAAGATTTATAAGTAGATAAAAAAACCTTTCTTGTTATTTTATATAATAAACCATATGGTGACTTTTAACTTATTATAAAGAATACTCTAACTACTAACAAAGGGTTAGGAGCAACAGGATATAAAAAATTTCTGTTAAATTAATCGTGAACCATAACTGAAACAAAAATAATAATTGAATAATATTTTTGAACTTTCCAAAATTATCGCTAACCATACATATCATCATAATTATATATATATCGCTAACTATATATATCATCGCTGGAAAAAAATCATAAGTACAAGTTTTAATTTTAAACTTATATATATATATACATACATACATACATACATACATACATACATACATACATACATACATACATACATACATACATACATACATACATACATACATACATACATACATACATACATACATACATACATACATACATACATACATACATACATTGAAGCAACGATTAAGTAATGTTTTAAAGTAGTATCATAAAGTAGTATTATTTCATGACAAAACTTCAAATTTTAAACTTTGATTTAAAATTCAAAAGCGCTGTACGCATTATGATAATGTCATAAAGACTGTCAAGTAGTGATATAGAAAATTTTTGACCAATTATTCAAAAATTTTCAAAATACTCTAACCATCTGTTTAATAAGATTTTTAAGCTTAGCAATATTACTTGTTTTTACTACTTTTTTGGGTACCATTTGAAAAATTCCTCGTTTGCCAGGTGGGGAAATAAAGGTAATCTTATTATCAGTACACTCACTAGCAATATTAAAACCTTTATCTGTCATAATTGATGAATTAGGAGGGAGTTTAGGAAGACAAGCACCACAATCCAATCTTATTGCTTTATCTGGCATTCTTCCGGTATGTCTCTGTTACAAAATTTATAGGTGATACAAGGAACTTCATTGTATTGTGGTGCTTGTATTCAGACCATGTTGTTTGCAGTTTTAAATCTTTTAGTGTTTCTACAAAAGTTTCAGAGCAGTTAAATATTCCAAACTTGGATTATCTCTAAAATAATCAAAAACAAATGGTTTAAAGTATTGTGACATGCCTCTTATCAAAGATTTAAAAATTTTTGAAACAGTAATAAGAGAAACATTGAATCTACCGACTATGTGATTGCTTTACAATCCAAGGCGTAATTTCAACAGGAAAAGTAAAAATTCATTTTGTGAACATAATTTTCTGTACCTACCACGTTATTTTGGTTGAAATTAAATCAATAATGTACAATTGGTTTTATAATTTATTGAATGTTAAAAACTTTCACGGAAGGTTTGAGTAAAAGTTACACTTTTTATCAGTTGTTAATAACTGTGTGTAGACTTTGTTTTAAAGATTAGTTTTGACTTTATTTTTAATTATAATTACCTTAAATTTATAATTTTTTGTTTTGAAAAAGAAAATAATGATTTAATTTTTGAAATTTGTCAATATCAATATTCAGGTTACTTATAAAAAAATTGAGTCTTAAGCTTTAGACAACTCATTAAGATTAGAAGGTGGAATAACTTTCATTTTCATCTACTACTTCTAATACTACTGGTACTGGTTCAACTATAAAATCAATGTTTTTTTTTGAACTGAAATTGACACTTAGTAATGAGGAACTAGAATATGGCTGTTTAACAGAAAAAGTCTCAATTTTGATCAACAAAATATGGTAGTACAGTATGTAGTGGATTTTACGTTTGGTTTTATTTTTTAAGTAAAGGCTATGTAAGTAAAGAGCTAGCATTTATTGCACTATTTTAAGTAAATTGTACTATTTTAAGTGAAGATTGTTCTACAATACAGTACAGAACAGAATAACTAACTAACATGATAATAATTCTTCAACACGTTTAAATTGCTGATGTTTGTTTTGCGCTGACCATAAATTGTCAAGCAAGCAAGTTAATAAAAATGTTATAAAAATTTCAAAATAATATATATGTCTTTTTGCGCATTATGTTTTACTAAAACAATATAGTTGGCTTATGTTTTTGATAAGTTGATGAATTACATCTTCCAGTGGAACTGATCAGAACAATCGATTTTGTGATTAAATAATTTCCAGTCAAGAAAAATCAAATTATATACTATTACAAATTGTACTTGTACATATGGTAAATTTGCTATATTGTAATATTAGAAAATTTAATTTTGATATTAAATTATCAAATTATTATCATATATATATATTATAACAAATCTTTTTTTTTCTTGTTATTTTTCTAAGAAAAAATTATTCAGAATTTGTACCTAAGACACTGCCGCAAAAAAATAAATTGAAATAAAGACGACTTTTATCATTTTCAAAAATGCTTTCATTTATCAAGATTTTGAAAACCGCCATATTTAATAGAACATCTTAGTTTACATTATAATAAAATTAAAAATTTAGTTTTAATGCTCATTTTAACTTCTATAACCTCCTTTAGTTCGAATTCTACCTCTAATTCAGAGACTTCTGGTATTTCCACCTGTTGTACAATAACAAATGTTTTACCATAACAACAAAGAAACAGCTCGGCAAAAATTGCCAACCTCTGACGCTTAGGTTGACATTTAGATCGGTGTTACCGCTGCATATTTAACGAATATGCAAATATGCAATTATTACTTTTAAGAACTGTATTCCCTAATAAACCGCATGGAGTATATACCCATAGTCATATAAATTACTTAATTTATATATCTATGTATAAACCACACGTTACTCTTTAGGAGTACTTAGTATTTTAGAGTGTCATGGAGGTAAAAGAAAAAGAAACAGAATCAAACTTTGTGTTTTCAAACTCAGTTATAAGTGGGAAATGGATTGGGTATACTATTATAATGGTATGCTATAATTACTATGTTATGTTTAGATATCTATATTGTTTTAAAAAAACATAATATTAAACATATTATTTTTGTTATTGATATTATTATGGCTTTAAATTTTTATTTTGCATTACTATTAATGACAATCACTATTTGCTACAAAGTTTTATTTTGAAAATACTAGTAAAATATATATAGGTTATAATCTTTCATATTATTGTATTTAATATTGTTATTATTATTTTTATTATTGTTATCGTTATTATTATTGTTATATTATTATTATTATTATTATCAGTTTATAACTGTTTGTAAATGTCCCGTACGATTGAATATATGTATGTATGTATGTATGTATGTATGTATGTATGTATGTATGTATGTATGTATGTATGTATGTATGTATGTATGTATGTATGTATGTATGTATGTATGTATGTATGTATGTATCTATATATCTATATATATCTATATCTATATCTATATCTACTATCTATCTATCTATCTATATATATATATATATATATATATATATATATATATATATATATATATATATATATATATATATATATATATATATATATATATATATATATATATATATATATATATATATATATATATATATATATATATACACAGTTATTAATAAAGTGAAAATATAATGATATGATCTAAATAGTTTTGAAATAATCTAAAAAGACTATAGGTTTTCATGCAATTAAATCTATTATAATATTTTTTTTGTATAAAATGATTATTATTTTAAAGATTCTTATAAAAATAGTTATTTTTGAGACCCAGTCAACTTAAATCTCAAAATATTTTGTCAAAATTTTTTATTAACTATAATTAGGACCCATCTTATTTTAAAGATTTTAAGGTACTTTTCTTTCCTAAAGATTTTCATTTTTGATCATTTGTTGTCTATAAATATGAATGTGCATGATTTAAATTCTGTTTGGCAAAACTATATGCCATCAATAGTCACAAATGATCAAGTACTATAAAAGGGATAAAAGCTTGCATATCAACAAAAACCTACACTCAAATATAAGTTGTTTTGATAAAGTTATGATTGCTTATAAACGCTAAATAAGTGTTTATAAATGCTAAGTAGGTATATATATATATATATATATATATATATATATATATATATATATATATATATATATATATATATATATATATATATATATATATATATATATATATATATATATATATATATATATATATATATATATATATATATATATATATATATATATATATATATATATATATGCTCTATCAAGCGTTGGCAAAAAAACCCAACTCAAAAAACCAACCTTAAAAAAAACCAAAAAAAAACAAAATTGGTTTTTTTAAAAATGCTCATTTTTTTCATTAAAGGTAAATTATTATTTTTTTAAATCATACAAAATTCATAACTAAATTTTAAAGTACAAGACATTACTAGTTATTTAGTATCTTTACTCTCCTCTCATGCTTATATTTCCAAACAAGCGTTTTTTATGTGTCATTTTATATTGGTATATGATCTTTATTTTTTTAAACCTTATGTTTATACTGCAAATTTCAGTACAAAGCTACAATCTAAACACTATGTATAAAAATTCTTAAACTTTATTCGCAGTCTAGAAATGGAAGGTTGCCAGGCAAAAAAAAAATAGTTTGCAACATATTTGCTCATTCAATGAGAGAACATGTTGGAAACTTGTATGCACTTCACAAGAACAAGATTTCATGGTGAAAATGATACTCACGCTCATCTGTCTACTTTCCAGGTTTTAAATATTTTATATCAGCTACAAGTTTACAACATGTTCTGTCAACAAGGGTGACTATAAACAGTGATTTGAAAGTGAACATCAGTACCAAGTTTGCTAAAAGGTGAAAAAACATACTCAAAAGAACTATATATTGTTTTACTTTGATTCAGTTGCAAAACTGAGGTGATAAAACATCTTTAAGGAAGAAAAAAAAAAAGAATCTGGTGGTGTAACGGTTCTTAACAAATTTATTTTAGATATTCTTAAGAACAATTTAAGTATAGGTACAAATCCATTTGCAAAACAAATCTATTCATAGTCAAAAAAAAAAAAAAAATTCCAAAGGGTCAATATCACACCAAATAGGCTAATAATAACTCTCACACCTTTTAAAAATACGATAATGATCATATAAAATATGAAAATTAAGATAAATTATTGCATAATATTGATCAGGCCTTTAGCTGTTCCAATGTTGTTTGTTAGTAAAAATGGTAATGTTATGTTCTAAGTTAAGGATTGAGACAAAAAATTTAAAAAAAATGAGTTGCTCTCTTGACTAAAGTGGTCACTGGAGCAATAGGGAGGTGAATTTATTAAAAATTAAAGTAAAAAATCGCTTTTGTCCTAAAAATTTAGAATGGAGAAAGCTAATAACTTAACTTGATTTTATATTAAAATTTTTTAATAAAAAGTTTTTGTTAAAGATTCTTGTTTAATTTAACAAAAAAGTTTGCTTATTGTTAAAAACAAAATAATCTCTATTCACATATCTTTAATTGTGTTTTTTCAACTGAGGTAAAATGATAAAGTTACACTTCAATTAAAAAACTTATTTTTTTATATTAACTTACCTCATTCTGTTGAAATTAGAGTGCAAATTTCTACGAACAATGAATGGTGATTTGTGAATGAGACTTCTTTATATAAAACATTTACAGCAAGCATTTAACGAAATTAAATTTTTATTTATATAAGTTTAATAATAATATTAAATTGTTTAATAAATACAAATTAATTATGAGAAACGTTGTTATAAAACATTTGTATAATAATATAATATGCAATACTGTTGAGATTTAACGCCATGTTAAATCTTTTACAGACATAACAAGAAAGTTAAAGATAGTTAATTAAGTCTAGTTTAGCTTTAAATAAGTTAAGATTTTCAACTTCCACTGTTTCAATTGGTAAATTGTTCTAGAACTTAATACCATTTTTACATTTGTATGAGATCTTCTCGTATTCTTTGTTGTTTAAAAGATGTTAATTTTATTTTTTCTAGTCTTTCACTGTATGATAGATGACATAGCTCAGGTTCAGATTTCGTTACTCGTTTTTGAATTTTTTCTAATTTATTTATATCTTTTTTGAGACAAGGACTCCATACCTGTATTGCAAATTCTAAATGCGGTCATATATAACTACAATACAACAATTTTATTAGTTCACTATTTTTATACTTAAATGATTTGTATATTATACCAAATTTATAGTTTGCAATAAATGATGCAATTTTGATTTGTGGTTCCCATTTTAAGTCATTCGAGATTAATGCCTAGATCTTTTTCAAATTTAGTTGTAGTAAATTCTTGCTTTATATTAATGTTAGTCATGAAATATTTATAATTTTTATTTTTGTTACCATTATGCATGATTTTACATTTTTCAAAATTGAATTGCATTTTCCAGTTTCTTACCCATTTTCCTAACATAGAAATGTCATTTTGTTAAGCATGTGTATCCGTTTCATTATTAACTTCAGCTATTACTTTACAATCATCTGCATACAACAACAATTGGTTTGTAAGATCATTGATGTATATTAAAAATAAAATTGGATCAAGCACAGAACCTTGTGGTACACTGCTTACTATGTCTACCCATGATGTTACACTTTCTCCAAGTACAACTCTTTGCTTCCTATCAGTTATAAAAGAAATTATTCACTTCAGTGACAAATTATCCACTTCAATTATCCACTTTAATGACTTCAATGATATAAACATTATTTTATTAAAACCTTTATATAAAACATTTACAGCAAACGTTTACGAAATTAAAGTTTTATTTATATAAGTTTATTAATAATATTAAATTGTTTAATAAATACAAATTAATTATGAGAAACGTTGTTAATTTAATTTTGTAAAAACATTTGCTAAAAACCATTTGTATAATAATAGAAGTTTTCGAATACATCCATATCCAAAAGTATAAGAGATCCCGCTTGCTAAAAAAATGTTTAAGTTTTACGGGTGCGAAACATTGCGCTGGACAATTTTCTTTATGCCAAGGCCTGATATATATATATATATATATATATATATATATATATATATATATATATATATATATATATATATATATATATATATATACGAAAAAAACACATACTGAAACTTTTTAGTATACTATTATTATTTGCTCTACTAATTATATAACAGCTGTATTGAGCATTCTTACTGGAAATATTTTAAAAATTCCTTCAATATATATATATATATATATATATATATATATATATATATATATATATATATATATATATATATATATAATATATATATATATATATATATATATATATATATTGTTGTGATGTATATGTTAGTGATGAAACTATTTTTACATATTTGCACCAACTTGGAAAATATTGGAAGTTGAGCAAATGGGTACCTTATGAGTTGAGTGAAACAAACAAGCTACAGTGCTTAATCATCTGTTCTTAATTGCTTTCCTGCCACAATTTAATGCTTTTGACCGGATGTTGAAGTGCGACAAAAAATGGATTATGTACTGCAAGTATTACTACAGGTATCGTTCACTATGAGTTGTTATTGTGGTGTGCATATATCAGGCCTTGCGATAAAGCGTCGGGCGATGTGAATTTTACGTCGTCCATGAGCGATTTTGCGTGTAGCTAGGGCTATTTGCGTCGAGCAAAAAATTTTTTGTTTGACTACATTTAAAGATATTTTTGAGCGGAATTTTAATGAAGTAATTTACGATTATTTTAACATTTAATAAAGTATTTTGAAAACCGCACGCAGTTGAAATAAAAGTTTGAATTATAAAACATTATTATTTACAAGCAGAAAAAATTCAGATTAAAAAAAAAGTTTAAATCTTTTAAGCTAACATTTTAATAAAATTATTCAGCAAAAGCAAAATTGAACAAAAATACTTTCTTTTAGTTATAGATTTTAAACTTAAATAATTATTTTACGGGGG